TCAAGAGAATGACAGTATTACAGGGTATTTAGTATCAACCAACAGAAAATGAACAATGGTTTCTGTATAATCTCCTTGTCTATAAAAGTTTTTGTTTGTATTATCACATATAATAACATCCAATAAGATACAACACGTTAAAACCGATGGAGACAGAAGAACAAAAGCTTGATGGGACTTCAAAACAAGAGGATATTAAATCAGCACAACCTATTATGATGTCTTGTTTTCTCCAAAATGGCTGTTCCTACCATCCAACCTTCTCTGCCTCATTTTTGTTGAGCTCATTTTCTGTCACTAGTTGTCAGTTTGTCCTCTTCATTTCGCTTTCTGCTCTATTCATTGTGGCTGCTCTGCCACTGTTTCTGGAATCTTGGTATTTTCCATTTTTAGAATATCCTGCAGTAATCTCTGTAGAGTTGAATTGGTGGTTGCAAATTCCCCTAGGTCCTCTTTATCCTGGAAGCACCTTGTTTTTCCATCAATTTCTGGGGACAGTTGTGCAGTATATATCAATCTTAGCTGGAGTTTATTATCTTTCAAAGCTTGAATTATTTCCCCCATGCTCTTCGTGATTTGATGGTTTGTGCCGAGAAGTCTGCTGTAATTCTGATGGGTGTTCCCTTGTAAGTGATCTGTTTCTTGTCTCTGACGGCTTTTAATATTCTGTTCTTATATTGGATTTCTGGAATTTTGATTATTATATGCCTGGGTGTAGCTCTGTTTGGGTTGTAGGTGACTGGGGTCCTGTATACCTCATACATCTGAGTATCTTTACCTTTTGCTAAATTAGGGAAATTCTCCTGGATTATTTCTGTGAATAGCTTTTGTAGTTCATTTGTTTGTGTCCCTGCTTCTTCTTTTATGTTCTTAATTCTTAAGTTATAGATCCTCTGATCATCTCCTAGTCTTTGTATTATTGCTATTTGTTTTCTTGTTATTTTTAAGAAGTTTTTCATCTCATGCTCCCACCATACAAATCTGTCCTCCAGTTCTGATAATCTATCCTTAGATTCTTTCAAGCTGTTATGCCAGTTTTCAATAGAGTTTTTAGTTTCCTGGTAATCTCTTTGAACCTGCTTCACATATTCTATGTTTTCTCTATTTTCTCCATCAAACAATTCTCCCCTCTTTTTCTGTTTTTCCATTCCACCATCTGTTTTTTCTTGGGCGGTGCTAAGCATTCTTTAACTATTCTACTTATTTCTTGCTTTATTTCATTAAATACTTCATTTGTGAACTCATCTATGAGGCCCCGGAGATACCGCTTTATGTCTGTAGGTGCCGTGTCGGATACTGCATGTTTTCTGTCTTCATTCTCTTTTTCATTTACCTTTCCTGGATCAGTGTTCTCAGGGTTGGGGACTGAGGACCCTTTCTTGTTACTCCCTTTTCCCATACTCTTTGTTTCTTCCATACAATCGTATGTAGGAGGCCCAGTTTTGTTTTTTTTTTTTCTCTTTGTCTGTTACAGTTTGTTTGAATCTGTGGGCTAGGTGTTCCTGCTCACTACAGTGTACTAGGGAGACACAGACCTGGGCAGCCTCTGCTGGGCCCGCCCCTCCAGGTCAACCTACTGAATAGTCACTGCTAGGGTGCACTGCCAGGCGCAGGGACCTGATTTGGACTAGCCTAGTGGATCTTAGTCTGCGGCGTCACCAGGCCAAGCTCTCCCCACCACTCCTGCTTGAGAGGGGAATATGCGACTAAAGTCACTGCAGGGCCCTGTTCCAGCTAGTCTGCTCGTTCCCAGAATGTCCTCTGTTGGAGCCTCCTAGTCCATGAAAGGCTCCCCATTTCTCTCACTCACCTCACGTCGATGCAGGGCTCCCTGCCAGTCCCGCTCTCAACGCTGTTTGGTTCGCCGATTCCAGCTCTCAGCGCTTTCGTGTGTCTCTCTCCCTGCCGTGTGGATTGGGACGCAGTAGCGGCAGCAGGAAATTCAAATCATGGCTTCCAATGGCACGGGATCCAGTTTCCGCACTGTTCTAGTTATAGCATCAGGACTGCATTTCCAGTTGGTTTCTCTCAGCTTAGTTCGTTCCTGGGTCAGCAGGGTACATCTCCCCTCGCATTGGACTTCTCACATGGCACTGCTCCTGGATCCTAAACTGGTAATCTCAGAGAGCCTCCGTGGCTGCTGTTATGTGTCTGCCATGTTCTCCCGGAAGTCAGATTTATTTTTGTTATGGATTCCTGGAGTTCTGTGTGCCTCACTTATCTATAGTGAACCTATAGTGAATCTAACGCAGGTTCCCCATGCTTGAGAAATTTTTTGCTATTACTTCTGTAAATAGTGATTTGTGTTGACTTTTGCTTTTTTTTTTGTCTTTTTGAGACAGGTTCTTGCTATGTGATTCATGCTGGCCTTGGGCTCACTTTGTAGCCCAGCCTGGTCTTGAACTTGCAACAATCTATTTGCCTCAGCCTCATGGGTGCTGGGATTGCAGGAGTGCACCACCAAGCTTAGCTCTGACTCCTGCTTTTTTGCTGACACCTATCAGTTTTAAGTTATTTTTCTTTGTATTGTTTTGCAGCTGTTGAATTGTTATTTCTTGGTTCCTTGTTATTTTTTTTCATTTGTCTTTTTCGTTTTTTATCGGTACCAGGGATCGAACTCATGACTGCCTGCTTGCAAGGCAGGTGCTTATGCCGCTGAGCTAAATCCCCAGGTTCCTTGTTATTTTTAAGAGATGTTTTCTTTTGTAATTGCTGTCTTCAAGGCCTGAAAGTCTCTAGTTTCTTTCAAGAAATTTTGCCAGCTTTCAGTAGTTTTTATTTTCCTGGGTATCTCTTTGAGTCTGTTTCATGCATTCCAATTCTTCTCTATATTGCTCATTCAAGATTTCCCTCATTCTCCTTTTTAATCTATGTTTTCTTTAGATATGCTCAGCAACTGTTTTATTATGTTTGCAATTGCTTCTTTTACCTGAGATCATATTTCTGATCTCATTTCTTTTGCAGTCTTATGAAGTAGTTTTTTTACATGGGTTGCTATCATCCAGAAATTTCAGGTGTTCGATTTCCACTTTCTTCCATGTCAAAGTCTCCGGACTTGTTCTGTTTAGGCTGGAGGCCAGAGATTGCCTTTTGCTCCTTTGGTCTTGACATTTTCCTGTGTTCCTCCAGATGAGTGGGTTGTGGGGTCCTCGATGCTTCCTATGTTGTCTACCAGTCCACAATGTAGAGGGAAGTGTCAGGCATCTGGGTTTTTCCTAACCCAGGTTCCCCAGAAGGTTGTGGTGTACGGGACAGGCTTCTCCAAGGCATGGCAGGCTGGTTCTCCTGGCCAGCGCTGGCTACCTGCAGGGGAGACCTGATGGTGCCCTGCATGTACTCGGGGGCTGGGCTGGCTGCTTCTCCCTGCCTGTGCTGGGTACCATGGGAGAGTCCCAGTGGTGGCCAGTGTGCATTCCTCAGATCTTTGCTTTCATTCCTTAACTGCTGTTAAAGCACAGGCTGGTCTTAGTAATCAGGTGATCCATATTACTACCTAACTCAGTCTAATTGTGCGAAAGTGAGTTATTAGGACTTGGAAAACTATACGAAGGAAACAGTGATCTGTTTTTCTGACATTGCTGTCATCATGGCAGCACCTGTGGGGCAGGCAGCTGATGATTTTACTTCCTAAGGATCTGCTTGCATGGGCTCTTGCATGCAGTCTGTGGCATCAGCAGGATTTGCCTGTTGGCTATCGGAGGACTTGTAAAGGGTCTTCCTGTCTTCCTTCTGTCAGTGCATTCTACATCCTTGATTTATGTTGTATAAAACTTCATATGTTGATTGTTAAAGAGAGCCAGGCTTGCCCAGGATATAGCTCAGAGGCATAAGTGCCTGCCTGCCAAGTGCAAGGTCCTGAGTTCAGTTTTTGGTACCTTAAAAAAAATAAAGCAAAGCTCTCTTTATTCCCAATTGACATGTGAAAGCACCCTCAGAAACTTATTTAAATGAGGTCTGTAGCCTTTCAGTTTTCAGGTTTCTTAGTAATGAGTTTTCTTGGCAGCTGTGAAAACTGGCAGTCTAACTATTGTTCCTTGTCTCCATTGGGTTAGAAGTGGTGCCTGATCCTTGAGGCCTGCCTCATGTACTGTGGGGTGGGTTGTTTTCAAGGTGAGCAGGTCGTTGGTTCCTGTTCCACTTGGAGGGGATGGTCCAGTTGTTTAACGAGTTTAAACATATGTCTATTTCCATATGCTGCCCAGCTGAGATTAGGTCTAGAAAATCTCAGGAAATCTTCCAGTACTGAAAGTGATGGGATAATCATTAAATCCCAGTGTCCTGACCAGATTGTTGCTTGGATACTTACATCCTTTTTTCAGTCCCCCCTGCAGTGTTATTTGGGTATCAATGGCCTCTTTGGCTGTTAAACAGCTGCCACTTCCCACCCCCAAGGTGGCTTTGTTTCACGGGTGGGTGAGCCAGGCTTTGCATATAGTTTGTGAAATGGTTAGGGAGCCTTTGTGATGAGAATGTAAGTTAGCAGCTCATAAATATGCACCTTATGGCAAAGAAGCTTTTATGTCCCCCAAAAGACAGCTATCCTTGTAGACTCAGTGAGGTAGGACAAAGTGAATTTTGTGATGTGTTCACTTACTTTTTAGAAACAAGTAAGATGGAAAGATGGGAGAAGTGGTGAAAATAAGCCTGAGCTAATTCAGCCTAAAGGAAAATGCTGGCAGAACCCAACTGGTGTGTGTGTGTGTGTATGTTTGTACATGTGCATACATGCAGATACAGTGCTAGGAATTTAGGAACATCACCATTGAAAGAAGACCTTGCACCATGAAGTGTGCTAGTACACGCCTGTAATCTCAACACTTGGGAATCTGAGTTAGAAGGATCGCCATGGTTCGAAGACAGCTTGAATTGCATAATGAGATGTCTCAAAAAACCAAAGAGAGAAAGGCCTTATAGAAGCATTTTTGTGAGCACTTTCTGAAACAGCTAACAGGCTTTCTTACAGCAGTCACACTAACTTTGACTCTTGTCTCATTTAACAGTCTGTGAACCCTTACATTGTGAAGCTGTCTATCGTGGATGATGAAGCCACTCTCAACGTGAGTATCTGGATCTTGTGTGTTATCTTGCTCTTATTTAAGGGCCATACTTTCAGGGGACATCTAGAGCAGAGACTTACTGTGCTGACTTCACCAGCCTATAAAGAGTGAATTGAGGGGCTGGGGATTTAGCTCAGCGGCATAAGCGCCTGCCTTGCAAGCAGGCAGTCATGAGTTCGATCCCTGGTACCGATAAAAAAAAAAAAAAAAGAGTGAATTGAATGGAACATCAGTGCTGTTGTCTTAGTGTCAAGGATGAAAGGTTTGAGGTGATGTTTGCTTGGTGATCACGATGCAGTGGTTGCTTATTCGTGCTGTGGTGTGCCAAGGCTGGCTGTTCTTCAGTTGGTTAAGTTATGTATCAGAGGAACAAAGCACAGGTGGCTGTATGCTGGGAGAGTCCTTCTTGTAGAACCAGCTGCATGGTACCTACAGCCTGGCTTGTTGAATCTAAAACACGAAGGATAATGTGTGTGTGTGCTACGTATAGCCTTAAAGTCCGCCGAGTAATTTGATGTTTTTCTTTTTTGGGTTTTTTGAGAGAAAGTCTCATTATGTAGTTTAGGCTGGCCTTGATTTCACAGCAATCCTGCCTCAGCCTCCCAACTGGCATGCACCACCATCCCCAGCTTTAGAGAAAGAGATCTAAGCTGAACAGATGTCTGGCTTTGTTTCTTTTCCCTTAGTAAAAACATGCACGTTTCACTTTGTAGCCTTACTTGACCTTTGTGTCACACCTGACAGGTTCTGAGGACATGTTCCTAGGTCACGTTAATATTTATTGAATGCTTCTTCTTCTTCTTTTTCTTTTCCTGCTTCTTTGTCTTCTTTTGTTTTTTTTTGGTGGTACTGGGGATCAAACTCACAACCTTGTGCTTGCCAGGCAGGCGCTTAACCATTAGGCTAAATCCCCAGCCCTCTTCTCCTGCTTCTTCTTCTTCTCTTCTCCTTTTTCTCCTTCTTCTCTTCTCCTTTTTCTCCTTCTTCTCCTCCTCTTCTCCTCTCCCTTTTCGCCTTCTTCTACTGTTTCTCAGGTTCTCCTTCTTCTTTTCCTTCTTCTTCTTCTTCTGTTTCTTTTGTTGTTCTGAGACAAGGTCTCCTTATGTAGTTCAGACCGAACTTGAATTCACTATCTAGTCCAGGCAATTCACAGCGATATGCAGTGCTCTCAGCCTCCTGAGTGCTGGGATTACAGGTGTCTGCCACCAAGCTCTGCTGCTGTTTCTCCTTTAATTCTTCTTTTCTTGTGGCCTAAAGGAGTGACTTTTCTGTGTGCATTTTATTTAACATGAGACTCATTGTCAATTTTATTGGCTGTTTCCAAGATATGTGAAGACTTGTTGCTTGAATATTCTATCTTAGTCTTTTCGTTGGAAGTGAGAACAATCCCAATCAAATTGTCAATAATCTCCAACTGGTTTTTTTTTTTTTTTCACCTTGTTACTCAATTTAAAATTCTATCTAGAGTTGGGGTGTGGTGGCGCAAGTCTGTAATCCCAACACTGGGGAGGCTGAGACAGATGGATTGCAGTTAGTTCACCAACCTGGGTTACATGAGGAGTTCAAGGCCAGTCAGTCTGCACTGCAGAATGAGACCTTTTCTCAAAAAAAAAAAAAAAAAAAAAAAGATTCTGGGCGCATTAAGATTTCCAAAGAATAAAGCAGAAAAAACTGCTTTGACAGTGCCTCTCAGAGGTTCTGTCCTCATTGGTAGCCCTCAGGCAGGATCTGGGGGCCTGGACCTCAGGGTTTAGGGTCTCCCTGACTGAATCAGAAACAGCACCAGTAGACCCCAGGGGTCAAAGGCTTATTTTAGTTTACTGTTTTTCTCTTTCAGGGAATGGGGCTTGTGATTGCTCAGGCTTTATCTGAATATAACAGGTAAATACATCTTTTCATTTGAATTGGTTCAGTCGGTAACAGACTTGTTAGTGATAGGATTATTTCCAAAAGATGAAAAATATTTCCAAAAGATGAGAAGTATAAAATAAAAAGAGCCCTTTATTCTGAGAACATGGAGAGAGATGACCGGCACCCCCCACTGCTGGCGTCTGGCAATCTCTCTGGCGGACACGTGGCGTGGGGGTATGTAAATAGCCTGGGTTTGGGGTGGAACCTAAGGCGGGCATTAGGGATGTACAGGTAGCCCATTGGTCCTAGGTTTCGCGCCATAGGTAAATTCCCAGGGGTGGGAAGATGGCGTCACAAGGTAAATTCCTAGGGGTGGGGGAGATAGGGGCTTCCTGCTTCCAGTTGAGGCTTTCCTGGCTTCAGTGTCCTATCTGGGCCAAAACCCTTTCAGTTAGCGTTCTTGGGTAGAATTCTCTGAGGTATAACAGCATGTAGGTGTATTTTGGTACCAGGGATCGAACTCACAACCACACACTTGCAAGGCAGGCGCTTTTGCCACTGAGGTAAATTTCCAGCCCCAGCAGGGTTGTTTTTAACATAGGGAAGAGTAGTCACCAGTTTAATGTGCACCTTTTGTCTAAGCAATTGGGCACATTCTTTTGTACACTTTGGTATTTTATTGCAGAACATTTTTATCCTATTTCTAGCTACAAGCAGTCTTTTTCTGTTTAGCCCAATTACATTTTCTATGTAAAAAAAAACCTCCCAGAGCACCAATTTTCTGTAGTACTTTTCTCTCTCTCTCTCTCTCCCCCTTTTCTCTCTCTCACTTTTTGAGACAGGATCTCACTCTGTAATGCACAATGGCCTTGAACTCACTATGTAGTCCAAGCTGACCTCTGTCTCTCAGCAGTTGTCCTGCCTCAGCCTCCTCAGTGCTGGGATTATAGGCATATAATGTCTGACTATTTGTACTCTTTAAGAAAATGAAAATGAGTAGCAGGTGTGTAATCTCAGCTACTTGGCTGAGGCAAGAGGATTACAAGTTTGAGGCCGCCTCTGGCAATTTAGCAAGACCTTGTCTCAAAAGTAAAATAAAAAGGACTGAGGTTCAGTGGTAGACTACTTGTCAAACAAATGCAAGGACCTAGGTTCAGTACCATATGTCACAAAGGAGAACTGGGGGATGTAGCTCAGTGGTACATTGCTTCATATGCCCAAGACCCTATGCTCGATACCCAGTAACTCAGAAATCAGTAAGGAAGTAGCCACCTATGTAAATAAGTGGAGAAGACAACATTGGATTAGGTCTAGTTTGCTTAGACGTTTCTTCCTTCTAATTTTTTTTTTTTTTTTTTTTTTGGTCCTGGGAACCCAGGACCCTGTGTGTGGTAAGCGTATGCTCTGCCACTGAGCATCAGGTCCCACCTGAGTGTTTCTTCTCTTGGTGATTAATCTCAGCTTCCCAGAGTTCCTGTTTTCTCTGTCTCCAAAGGGGCCCTTTCCTTCTGCCTTGAGCATGGAGAGGGATGTGGTATTCCTTGAACAGAAAAGGAGGTATCTTTAAATCTGGATAAGGGCCCCTTTGGAAGCTTGATTTTTTTTTTTTTCTTTTTTTTTTTTTCCTTTCTGGATTTTCCTCATACACAGTTGGGTTTTGGGACTTTAAATCTATTTCATTTCTACAAATGTTTTAGCTCTCTGATTTTTCTCCTTCTCCTTCAAAAACAAACAAGATTTTTACTGTTACAGCCTTAAAGCAATTCCACTATCACACTTTTCAAGTAAGTCTGTTTGGGAAATAAATGATTCAGCCATATGTTTCACACTTTTGCAGCTTGCTTTCTAAGTCTCTCCCCAGATTGGCCTGGCATTTTAGTGCACTGTGCCGCAAGAGCAGAGGGTGCCTGTGAATGTGCAGGGGTTTCCAGGGCTGGATGGTTATAATGCTTCAATTTCTGAGTCAAGGACTTCTCATAGTACTCCCTGACTCCCGATTACCTCGATATCAGGGACAGAGACATTGATAAATGATCCTGAATTTGGTTCTCTTTGTTCAGACAGTATAAAGACAAGGAAGAAGAGCATCAGAGTGGTTTTTTCTCTGCTTTAACAAATATGGTAAGTCCTTTGTGGTTTTTGTCCTGTTCAGAAATACAAGAGGTCTGCAGGGTCACAATTCTGGGCTGGGAGATTGAGGTATTTTGGATGGCTTGTTGGGGGAGAGAAGCTGCTCAGAGCAGTTTGTTTTTTTTTTTTGAACTGTGTCTCCTTTAGCAGATGAACTGTGTCTCAAAACCAGAGAAACTATGAGTCAATCCCAGAGAAAGCAAAGTTCTCCCTCCTTTATAAAGGGAGAACTTTGATTTCTCTGGGATTGACTCCCCCAACCCCCTATTGCTACAGAAAAGATACACAAGCCAGATTTTTGCTTTCCCTCTTTTTTTTTTTTAGATAGGGTTACTCTGCAATTCAGGTTGGCCTTGAATTCACTATATAGCCCAGGCTGACCTCAAACTCACAGTGATCCTCCTGTATCAGCCTGCTGAGCAGTGAGATTCCAGGCATGTACTACTATGCCAGGCTCAGAATTCTGCTTTCTACCTGCCTGGTAAGCACAAAGTCATGAGTTCGAACCCTGGTACAAAAAAAAAAAAAAAAGAAAAGAAAAAAAAAAGAAAAGAAAAAGAATTTTGCTTTCTAAAGGCTGACTCTTTTTGGAGACTAACCCTGTAGAACACAAAATAGGAGCATTTTGGTCTGAGTCCTGCCCTGCGTGCTCTTCTGTTGTCTACTGTGGCCATGGATACCTAGGAGCTGGCTCTGGAGTTCAGGGGTTATGCGCTGAATCTAAGCTGTTTCTTTAAAGAGGTGGGGTCTGGGGTAGAGGTCTGAGGTTACTGGTTGAGCTTGCCAGGCTCCAGAGCAAGGTTCCTCTTTGGAAGCAGTGGCATTTTGGATCAGATACTCAGGGTTTAATTCTTCAGAGATACATTTTAGCAAGTTCTAAATCTAGGCAGATTCAAATAGTCTATCTTGTTGAGCATTAGTGTCCAAGTGTTCAGATCTAGAGCAAGACAGGTTCCAAGTTTGTTGCAAGAAGCAAGTACCCTCTGTTCTCTCCCACAGAGAAACAGTTTTCCTTCAATGCTTTCCCTTTTCCCTTCTCCAAGCCTGCTCTCAGGAAAGATCCTGATAAACTTAACTGTGAGGCATAAATGAATGGCATCTTTGGCTAGACACACATGAATGCTTTCTAGATGGTAGGTCTGATACTGAGGATTGAACTCAGACTTTAGCCCTAAGCCATACCTATCCCCTTATTTTGAGACAGGCTCTCGCTAAATTGCCCATGTCAGGCTTAAACTTGGGGTTGCTCCTGCCTCAGCAGGGATGGCAGGCATGTGCCACCATTCCTGACTGACACATAGGTATTTTGTATTGATATTGATTACACAATTTAAGATGTATTGTTTCATTGTTTTAACTTTTAATAAGGTTTTGTACCAACAAATGAAGTTTCAGTTGCAGCATTTGTGTGCAAAGTAGAAAGTATTTTTCAGGGGTAGGCATCTTTCTTGGTGCTTCTGACATCATACATGTTAGAGGCAACTTATTTATTATTCCCTTCTTATTTGTCTGCCCTGACTAAGCACTGATACTAAAGGTTTTGTTATCTGAAAAATGGACAATGGGTCTGGCATAGTTCTGGTCTGAAATTCAGATATTTCCCCAAAGATAGTGTTAGTTAGATGAAGCTGGTTTGCTTTCTGTGATGGTCTTTGAGTTCATTTTGGCTGCAAATAAGCTATTTCTAAAAAGATGCAGCGACGTGGAGATACTGGTTAAGCTCCATTGGTTCCTTGTTAACTAAACAGATGCTGACTGAAAGGAGGGCTGGACAAAGGTACTGGGATTTTTTTTTGAAGATCCTCCAAAGTCATGGTGCTTCAATAATGTTTTCATAATTTTATTACTTTTTTTTTTTTTTTTTTACTTTTTTTGAGACGGGGTCTCGCTATGCAGTTCAGGCTGGTCTTGAGTTCACTTTGTAGCCCAGGCTGGCCTAGAACTCACAACGATCCTCCCATCTCAACCTCCTGAGTGCTGGGATTATAGTTGTGAGCCACCACGCCCTGCATAATTTTATTACTTATAGTCTCTTAGGATTTTCAAAGTGTGCTGACTTAGGTGTGTGTGACTGATGGTTCAGAGTTTTAAGTTCCTGCTGTTGGAAGCAGCTTGGTTTTAACTGTGATTAAAGACTTTGTCTGTATGAGGCGTGATGGTGCATACCTGTAGTCCATCACGCTGAGAGGCAGAGGTGGGAAGATAACAGGTTCAAGCACATTGTGCAAAATTTACTGAGACCTGTCTCAAAACACTGAAGAAAGGCCTGAAAAAAAAAAATTTAAAAAAAGGTCTTGGAACATAGCTCAGTCAAAGGCCCAGGATTTAATCCCCACTGCAGGGCAGGGAGGGGGTAGGGGGAGGTTTCAGAGGCATCCGGGTTCACATCTTCCTTCTTCATAAAGTCTGCAATTCTCCTTTTCTCCACAGGTGGGCAGCATGTTCATAGCAGATGCCCATGAAAAAATCTCAGTACAGTAAGTGCTTGGAATACTTTGGAGTGACTCAGACTTCAGAGTGAGCTCCCTTGAGGGATATGAAAGTGGGAAATACTTCTTCTGCATGATCTCTTACAGATTTGAGCTCATTTTGTGATATTAACAAGTATTCCTTGGGTTAGAAATCTATTTTGGTATCATGTATAGAACCCCAAGAAATTGAAAAACAGTTCCCAGCTATCTCCAGAAAGACATGGAGAGCTGAGTGTCTGAACCAGATAAAGGTTTAACTGGGATGGAATGGAAAAGCAAAAGGGAAGATAGAAAACAGAAGAGGAAAAAAGCAAGTCTGGAGGACTTCATCTCCACTGCTTTGTACTCTGGCATCGGCTACACAGCGCGTACATGAGAGCCTGGATGCTCAGGGACTGGAAGAGCTGTACGGGAAGCTCACCTTGATGGTTATGATGTTTTAATACCTTCACTCTCAGAGCTGCTTCAGTTTGTTCTTTTTTCTTTAGAACCAATGAGGCCATTCTTCTGGCACTTTATGAAGCTGTTCATTTGAATCGCAACTTCATCACAGTGTTAGCTCAGGTTGGTTGCATTAAAAACTCAGCCCATTTTCTCCCCTGAATTTCATTCAGATCCACTCCACTACAGTGCCCCTACTTTGCATTGGTGGTAACCATGCTGTCTCAACTAAGTTGACCTCAACTAAGATTCCGAAATAAGTTAGTGTAATGACATGAAAAGTTTCCTGGTTCTGCTAACCCCAAGGACTTGACAGTTACTTCATTTTGATCACTAGAAAGTCCTAGAATTCTCTTTTTTTTTTTTTGTTTGTTTTTTTGAGGCAGAGTTTCATTATGCGTGTAGGCTGGCCCCCATCTTGAATCACTCAGTGATTCTCCTGCTTCAGCTTCACAAGGGTTGGAATTATAGGCATGTACCACCATGCCTACTCTGGTGTTTATTTTTGTATATAGCTTTCTGCTTTCCAAACCCTTGTGAAATTACAGCTGATAATAAAATAGGCCATCACTTTCTTTATCATACCAATTTACAGAGAAGTAAAAAATACCCTCTCCAGGATATGGTTAGCTCTTAACAGACAGAATAGTCTATAAGCTTTGAAAGCAGGGAGACAGAATACAGAGTGTTTTATCACATGCCTCAGGGAGAGCCTTCCTAGCTGGCACAGAAGGGTGCCTAAAGTAGGTTAAGAACTCAAGTTCATAAAAGCTATCTTATTTTTGTTTAAAGCTACACTATTTAAAATATGTATATAGGTTGTTTCTTTTCAAGGAAAATGTGCTTATGCTTTTTTCCCCCGCCTTGAAGTCCAGATGGGGGTGGAAGCCATTGTTTTTTTTTTTGTACCAGAAATTGAACTCACAACCTCATGCTTGCCATGTGGGCATTGTGCTGCTGAACTACATCCCTGGCATCCACTGAGTTTTGATCAAAAAATAAGATGATATTTTTTAAAAGCAATATGCTGCTTTGGGATATACCTTGAAGAACACTTGACAGTTTTCATGATTCCTAACAAAACAGTGTTACCTACTTTTCTCTATGTCTTATCTTTTCTTCAAATTCCATATCTGATTTTATTTTTATTTTTAAAATTTAAAACTTTAATTAGTATATGTTTGCAGCACATGATCTCGTCATTCATTTGGGGAGTTGGTATATGTACATAATACATCTCAATTCTTTTCCCTTCCCCTCTGTAACTGGGGTTTAAAGAACTGGAGGTAGGGCTGGGGATTTAGCTCAGCGGCATAAGCACCTGCCTTGCAAGCAGGCAGTTGTGAATTTGATCCCTGGTACTGATAAAAACGAAAAAGACAAAAAAAAAAAAAAAAAAAAAAAACTGGAGGTGAAGGACTGGTGAAGCTGCAAACCAGGACAGATTAAACTGCTGTCCTTGCTGGTGTGGTGGCAGATGCCTGTGATCCCAGCCTTCTGAGACACTGAGACAGTAGGGTTACAGATTGGAGCCTAGCCTAGATTTAAATGCTGTTTTGAAATGAAATATAAAAAAGGAAAAAGAGAGCCGGGTGTGGTGTTGTATGCCTGTAATCCCAGCATGCAGGAGGCAGAGGTAGGATGATCACTGGGAGTTCGAGGTCAGCCAGGGCTACATAGTGAGATGCTGTCTCAAAAAACCAAAAATTATGGGCCCAGGGTTTAACTCAGCGGCATAAGCACCTGCCTGGTAAGTATAAGGTCATGAGTTCGATTCCTGGTACCCCCCCCCTCCCCTGCGCGCAAAAAAACCCCTCCCAATTAAGCAAAAACCAAAAAACTGCTCTCAGTTTACTTCTCCAGAGTTGATGTGGAGGGATAGCTGAGGAAGGTCACGTACGGAGGAGTCGTCTGTTTTGGTCCTAATGGGCATCTTTCTGTGTTTCTCTATGTCTGCACCCCGCACACTACTGTCTGTTGTACAACAGAAAGACTTTTCTTTTTGAGCTTACCTATATTTGTTAGTCAATTTTGTGGCTAGAAGAGTCTATAGATAGGTGGATCTTAGTTCTGACGGGACTGCAGATGCCCACTTTCATGTAAAATCATCTGAATAGTTTTGTTTACTCTAGTTTTTTTTTTTATTATTAGCATGGTTCTGCAGAAACTTAGATAATAGCCCAGTTACTTAAAGAAATCAAACCCACAGAGCTTCTTGGTAGAGCTTAGTGAGCAGCAGTAGTAATCAGGGCTTCTGAAACTAATACTGGAGTTGCTCCTGATGAGCCTGCAGTCCAGTTAGAAGACCAGGATACCCATGAAGACAGACAGCAGAATGTGTTCAGCCCTGAGAGCTGGATTTTCTAGGTTTTTAGCCACCCATGTCCTCTTTCAGAGTCATCCAGAAATGGGTTTGGTGACAACCCCGGTCAGCCCCTCTCCAACAACTCCAGTCACACCGCTTGGGACCACGCCACCATCCTCTGATGGTAAGCTCACACTTTTGTCTTCTTGGTTTATATCATTTTAGGACTTTAGGGTGAGCATAGCTGTATCAAACAAAGAGCACAGTTAGTGATTTTTTTCAGTTAAGAAATTTGCTTAAACTGGGTAGTGGGTACAGGGCCTGTAGTTCCACAGAGGGTGAGATGGGAAGATCATTGAGCTCAGGTGTTCAAGACCAGTTTGGCAAACACAGCAAGATGCTGTCTCAGAAATTGAAAGCAAAAGCAAAAACAAACATGAAAACAAGAAATGTGCTTGTATAGAGTACTGTCCTTCAGGATTCCTAAAGTTCCAAAGAAAATTTTGGAAAAGATAGTCAAGTGCTTTTTTAAGTGACAAGGGCTGGGTGTGATATTGTACTCTTGTCATCCCAGCACTTGGGAGGCTGGGGCTGGAGGATTTTTTTCAAGTTCAAGACCAACATAAAGAGACTCTTTTTTTTTTTTTTTTGGTAACGGGGATTGAACTCATGATGCATACTTGCTAAATCCCCAGCCCTATAAAGAAACTCTTATGTTAACAAAAGAAAACAAATAAATTCTGTTTGAGGAGAGATAAACATGTGTAACCTAATTTAAACACCATCCAATGTATACATATATCAAATATCATTTGATATCCCATTAATATAAGAAATTATGAATTTGTTCCAAAAATCTTTGTGCTACCTTATTTTTTTGTCTTTTTCATCGGTACCGGGGATCGAACTCACGACTGCCTGCTTACAAGGCAGGCGCTTATGCTGCTGAGCTAAATCCCCAGGCCCATGCTACCTTATTTGAATTTGAACTCTTGGCCGTCTTCCTGCTTCAGGCTCCTGAGTGTTGGGATTACAGGTGGTTGCCACTACCTCTGGTCTCCCTCCTGTTTGTATGTGAAATAACTTTCTTTGTTCTGTTTCTTTTCCTTAATTTTTTTGTTACTGTTTTTGTTTTTACTTTTTTTTTCTTTTTTTTGAGATAAGTTCAAACTATGCAGTCCAGGGTAGCCTTGAGTTCACTATGTAGCCCAGGCTGGTCTTGAACACACAGTAATTCCCCTGCTTCAGCCTCCCAAGTGCTAGGATTATAGGTGTGTGCTACCATGTTTGGCTTCTGTTATTGTTTATTATTATTATTATTGCTGTTAGCAGTATTGGGGATCAAACCCAGGGCATTTGCACAGAGCTATGTCCCCGTCCCATTTTTATTTTTTATTTTGAGACAGGATCTCACTGCATATCTCAGGCTGGGTTCAAACTTGCTATCCTCTTGCCTCAGCCTCCCAGAGTGCTGGGCGTATACCATGGCCAGCTGTTGTTATTTTTGTAAGTGTGTGATATTGGGAACCAAACTCAGCCTTGGGCGTGGTACATGAGCAGTCTGTCACTGAGCTACATCCTCAGTACCTACATTTTCATACAGATCTGTGACATAAGCGTTTTAAGACAGTTTAAACTGTACAAGGAAGTATGGCAAAGAAGTGCTGTAGATATGTATTCAGGTCCATGGCAGTAAATTGGATCTTCCTAGAATTGAAAGCCAAATTCCAAAATATCTTAATGAGAACGAGCTAGTAGTGAAGATTGCCTCCTTGTCTGTTTATTCAGGTCATTAGATAAGCCAATGGAAATACTGTACTTTCTCTTTAAGGATGAAACCTGCCTGGTTGCCATGGATATCAAAAGCCATATATAAATATATACCTCATTTCCATCTGATGTTGGGGTTTGGTTGCTTTGGAGAACTGCCTTTCAAACTGTTCATTGTGAACACTTCCACCCACACACACACTTGATTATGCAATGGCAGAATTTGTGCTTACTTTACCTACAACCAGTGAGCTTTTATTTTTTCTAGTGGAAAGATCAAGCCATCCCACTTTCAGAAGACTGTCTTTCTTGACAAAAGCTGCTAGGAAGAATTATGAAGGCTAAGATCAAGGAATAACACTTCCTTTGGAAGGGGATTTTAATTTGTAAAGGATTTTATTCTGTCCTATTTGTTCTTTTTCTTTTTTCATAACTCATTTCCTTTCTGTAGGGGTCCTAAGTATTATAAACTTATTTTAAATTTTTGGTTTTTAATTATAGTGCTGCTCAGTAGCCCAGTTATATTTAAAGGTATGTCACTGGAACTATTATTTTTAAAAGCCAGCAGTTTAGCTGTAACATTTGTTCTCAGCTCAGACTTGACATTTGACAACTCCGCCTTGGCATGAGAGCACTTTGGTAAACTAAAAATATATATACTTCTATATTTCTTCATATTATATAAGATGGTTTCGCAGTTATTGCTGTGTGTGAGTGGGAAAGAAGTTCCACTTACCAGTGTGGTGGTTTTTGTGCTGGGCAAAGGTATGCTTATGGGCTCTGAGCATCAAAAGAGCTGTGATTTAAAATGACCATTTCAGGCCATTAACCCGTAACATGAATTAAGCCCTTTTAGTATTTAACAAGAAAGTATATTTATCTTTTATTGGTTCTTAGGAACCAAACTGTAAGGGGACCAAGCCAAGAGAGTTGGGCTTGTTAATTTCTTTCTGTAAGACTTTTTGCAGTGCTTGCATAAAGGGGTCTATAGTATGCAAGTATTTCCCATTGTTAATGAACATTCACAGCATACATCTTAATAATTCCAGAGGGATCCATTATGGTTATGAATACATATTATGAATAATATCTCAGACTCAGCTGAGTGTTCAGCTATAGATTCTCCAGCTTGTCTGGGCTGTCATGAGGCTCTTTTTGTTTATATATTATGTCTTAGTGTAAAGGCACTTAAGATGACTAATTATAATTTAAAGTCTTAGACTCTTAGGAAGTCTACATTAAGACTATATTCTGTGTGGGTCAGTCCTGGTCTGGTCCCTCATTGTTCATGTGGAGTGTGACTCAGAGTAGGAGTTTGGAGATCTCACCTAGAAATAGCAGCTGGTTATATAAACCTTGATTCCCAGACTGTCCCCATCAATAATGTATTTCTGTTACAGTCTGATTTTGCTTTTCAGGTTCCAATTCATGGGTTAAAGGATTAAGGGATAGAATTTCAGTGTAGTTCTACCTGAACGTTTACTACATTCACCTGGGGTACTTCTAGCGGAGGAATGTAGCTCAGTGATAAAGCCCTTCCTTTGTATCCCTAAGGCCCTGGGTTCAAGACCCAGCATTGTGGGTGGGTGGGGGAATATCTATCTATCTATCTAGGGTATTTCTAAGGCTTGTTCTCAAATTCGAGGAAGAATTTGCCTTATTAGGAAGGAATCTTGATGTATTTTAAGCAAGAGACTCGTCAAAGCAAACTTCACTTAATTCATTAAAATCCTTTTTTTTTTTTTTTTTTTTTTGTCTTTTTCATTTTTATCGGTACCAGGGATCAAACTCACGACTGCCTGCTTGCAAGGCAGGTGCTTATGCCACTGAGCTAAATCCCCAGCCCTTTTTTTTCTTTTAAGTAGAAACCACAGTGCCTTTAAGAAGAGCCCTGAGCCCTTTTGGGGTTACTGAGGGTTGGAAGTTGCATCAGCATACCTTCCTAGGGTGTTGGGAGATAAGTGCTGTTCCTAGAGACTGACCCTAGATGGAAGAGAAAGTGTTGGGGTCAGTCTGGGAAGTAGGAGGGGCTCTAGATGCTTACAAAGAGCAGACAGAAGTTTTATGGTAAGTGCCTGTCCTTCCCTCTGTTGTGGGAAAGCTTATTTAGTCATTTTCTGGCCTGCTGGCAATTTGGCTATGTGGGTAGGCGTGTTAGATGGAAATATGTTATGGGCTAAGCACATTTCATCTTTTCTATTCCAGTTATAAGTTCTGTAGAACTCCCACTGGATGCAGATGTACAGACCAGTAATCTGCTGATAACTTTCTTAAAGTATAGTTCGATTGTGATGCAAGATACCAAAGGTAAGGCATGTTATTTTGGGGGCACAGGCACTAGGAGGGATGGCAGGCAGCTAGAATTAAAGAGCAGTGCTGACATTTGAGGCTTTTAGGAGCTCGACTGTTAGGGCCTCCTAAGCAAGGTCATGGTCCTAACTATGAACAACAGTGATTTCTCCTTGCTAGATGGTGATTAAGTGGTACTAGGAAAACCTGAAGCTGGAGGGAGTGTTCAGAAATAGAATAGGAAAAAACATTGATCTCTGCAAGAGCCAGCAAGTCTTTTTAGCAAACCCTGGTAAGTGGATGCGGACTCTTCTGTGTGGGAAGTTGGGATTAACACACTTCAGGGAATTCCCTTTTGAGGACAAGAACTGAGGCATCAGCTTGTGGTGAGAAGTAGAAGGGTGCTATGCGGGTGCAGCACGAAGAGGTGTGAGATTCGCAGGGACTGTGTTCCTTAGAGCTTGAGATAGAGCTCCTCCTAGAAATGTGGTGTGGAGGGCAAGAGGGTTGGGTATAGGGAAAACTGCATTTATTTATTTTTTTCATGTCAGTAGGAATTGAACTGAGAGCCTTCACTCTGAGTTATATCCCCAGCCATTTTTTAATTTTGAATTTTTGGGGTTTTTTTGAGACAGTATCCTACTATGCAGTTTCGACTGGCCTGTGATTATGTAGCCGAGGCTGGCCTCAAACTCACAGAGATCCTCCTGACTCAATCTCTCAATGCTGGGGTTATAGGTGGACACTGCCATGCTTGGTTGAAATTTGGTCTTGCTGTGTCACTAAGTTGCCCAGACTAGGCTCAAATTTACGATTCTCACCACTGAACTACTTCTGTAGCCTTGATCTAGTATTTTCCTTCAGTGGTTTTTGTTTACTTTATTGAGATAAGGTCTTGCTGTGTAGTCCAGTCTGGCCTAGAACTCACTATGTAGCCCAGATTGTCTGTCTGTCCTTTTCTTTTCTTTCTTAGAACTCACTATGTAGCCCAGATTGTCTGTCTGTCTGTCCTTTTCTTTTCTTTTCTTTCTTAGAACTCACTATGTAGCCCAGATTGTCTGTCTGTCCTTTCCTTTCCTTTCCTTTCCTTTCCTTTCCTTTCCTTTCCTTTCCTTTCCTTTCTTTTCCTTTCCTTTCCTTTCCTTTTTTCTTTCTTTCTTTCTTTCTTTCTTTCTTTCTTTCTTTCTTTCTTTCTTTCTTTCTTTCTTTCTTTCTTTCTGAGACAAGGTCTCACTATGCAATTCGAGCTGGCCTTGAGCTCACTTTGTAGCCTCCTTAGCCTGGTCTTGAACTTGCAGTGATACTCCTGTCTCAGCCTCCTGAGGGTTGAAGACTATCCTTGAACCTGCAGCTATCCTCCTAGCTCAGTTTCCCAAGTTCTGGGATTACAGGCATGTGCAACTATACCTGGCTTCCTCCAACTGTTTTTTTTTTTTTTTTTAATGCTGCTGAACTAAATCCCCAGCCCCTTCCTCCAACTGTTTTAAATGAAAAAAATTCTAATACACAAGATGTGATCAAAATATACAGTGAATATTTAAATAAAAATTTTTTATTACAATAAAAGACACATTGCCCTTAATCTCCCTTGAAATAGTCTCTCTCAGGGGCTGGGGGTTTAGCTCAGCAACATAAGCACCTGCCTTACAAGCAGGCGGTCGTGAGTTCGATCCCCAGTACCAATAAAAATGAAAAAGACAAAAAAAAAAGAAAAAGAAAAAAAAATAGTCTCTCTTCCTTCCAGTGTACTTACTTGTCTGCCTTGCTACTTTCTTTTTCTTTTTAATTTTTTTCTTTTAAACTTTTTAAACTACACAGCGTCTCGCTGTGTAGTTTAGGCTAGTCTGAAATTCACTATGTAGCACTGGCTGGCCTCAGACTCCAGACAACCTTCCTAATTGCTGGGATTACAAGCATGAGCCACCACAGCTGGCTTCTTGCCGCTCTCTCATGTAGTTCTTGGAAGTCTTGTTTTGTTTTGTTTTGAGACAGAGTCTTGCTATGTAGCCCAGGCTGCCCTTGAACTTATGGCGATCCTCCTGCCTCAGCCTCTCAAGTGCTGGAAGTACAGATACATGTACCACCCCTGGCTGGAAGTACTGTTTTGCCTTTATGAAGTATGATAAAAAATTGATGAATGCTACTGCTGAGCGCCAGTCAAGGGAAAAGCAGCCTTGTATAAACATCATGGTACCCTGGCACCCTGCGACTTCTGTCTGAATCTTCCCTAAAGTCAAAATGGTCATGAAAGGAATCCTGGTCACTTTTTTGTTACTGAGACACAGTACCTGATGCCTGCAGGTTAAAAAAAGAAGCTTATTTTGGCTCATGTTTTAGTCAGCTGGCCCCAGGGAAGGAGAGCATGGCATAGGGCCATGCAGAAGAGAGCAGCTCACAGTGTGGTAGGAGGGAGTAGAGACCAAAGGGAGGATCTGAGGAGCGAGGTGCACCCTCCCAGCTCTCAGTCCGGGTGACCTCTTCTGACCAGGCCCTGCTTCTCAGCAAGCCTGCCCTAAGCCCACCTATGCCTGCATGGAGCTCTTGGGGGACATCTAGATACAAACTAACAAAAGGTAAACACTTTGAATCAATTTAGACAGCCATGACAGCAAAACTAAAGACACTCAGGTAAAAGAACTTCCATAGCTTCTTCATACAGGGACAAGGATGGTGGGTTGTGTGCTCAAAGCTGGAGCCAGCATCTTGTGGAGATAATGTCGGTGTATCTTTTACTACAATAAATTAAGAAGATGTAAACATCCATAGTATTTTTTGATCATACTTCATGTATGAGTTGAAAGAACCATGCAGTGACCACTTCCTCTTCCTCTTTCTCCTCCTCTTGTTCCTCCCCGCTTCTTTCTCCTCCTTTTCTGGGGCTTGGGATCAACACACCTAGCATTTTTTTTTTTTTTTCTTTTCCTTTTTTTCCGGTACCAGGGATTGAACTCACAACCACCTGCTTGCAAGGCAGGTGCTTATGCCGCTGAGCTAAATCCTCAGCCCCTACACACCTAGCTTTTTAGTAAACTTTTTTGTTTTTAAACATATTGGAAATTGAAACTAGGGCCTTCTGCATGGTAGGCAAGCACTGTACCACTAAGCACATCCTTAGCCCTTTTTTTAAAAAATTATTTTGAGATCAGGTTTCACTAAATTACTTAGGTTGGCCTCAGATTACACTCCTCCTTCATCATCGTCCTGAGCAGCTGGGGTTACAGATATGTGCCACTCACTCAGACTTTAATGCACATTTTCATTACATTCTGCTTGGTACCTAAAGGTTGATCCAGTGGACATCTCCTGTTTAGGAGGGTTTTTTTTCCTAATTACAAAAGTAATTGAAATATTACTTGTTAAACATTAAAACATTGTAGTGATGCTTAACTTAAAAGTAGAAGTCCTTTCTACTAAATTCTTCAAAGTTAGTTACTTTTAGTGACTTGGCATATATTCAGTATTCTTTCCATAAGGCTTTTTTGGCCTGGTGTAGTAGTACACACCTATAATCCTAGCAGTGTACAAGGCTAAGGCAGAAGGATTGAAAATTTGAGGCTATATAGGGAACATTAGTGACTTAGCAAGAGCCTGTCCCACCTTCCCCAAACTAACCCACAAAAAAAGTGCTGAGGGTGTGGTTCAGGACCAAGACTGTGGATTCATGCCGCAGTATGTGGAAGAAAACAAAAAAGACTTCTTTATAGGAATCTTTTTAGTTTTTTGAGACAGAATTTTGTTTTATAGTCCAGGCTGCGTCAAACTTACCATCATTCTGCCTCAGCTTCCTACATGCTGGAATTATAGGCATGCACCACCATGTCCTATGTCTTATAAGAATCTTTAAATCTTATTTTAGGAGCTAACTCTTTAGTAGATGAATTGTGAGAAAAAAAAATTTTTTTGTGGGTACCAGGTATTGAATTCAGGACCTTGCGCTTGCCAGGCAGGCATTGTGCCACTGAGCTATCTATATCCCTGGCCCTGAATTTTGAGTTATTAGATTATAGTCTGGGATCCAACATCAGGTTTTTAGATATCAAAGAACCAATTCCACTGTAGAAGCAAAATTGTTAAAATACAATTGTCTTTGCCACTTTGCTTTCTGTGAGGAGAGATGATACCTTGTGAAGTGGTTCACATTTCCTGTAGACGTTTAAAATGCATTAGCAGACTTTTATTTACTTGGTGAGGGGTTAGCTTTCTGGTTTGAGGGAGATGAGGATCTTGTTTGAAGCTGAAAGACATGATCTGTGTTGGAGGGGAAGGCCAGGTTCGGGGCCTTACATTGGTAGACAGATGTAGAAGAGCTAAAAAACAGATATGGGAATGAAAAGTTGCCAGGACCTAGAGATGCCTGGTGAGCAAATATAAGTCTTGTAGTACTCAAAACACTGCCTTTGCTGTTGGAGAGCTCAGCCTTCCATACTGAGACACCTTTTGCCTCTTCTGTCATGTGAGCATACTCTTTCAAGGGTGAGGGTTTCCCACAGGGATGAGATGGATACAGATGGTCCCAGCACAGGCTCTCAACATACAGCAGTCCACTGGGAACTGTGACTGCGAAACTCTGAGACTTGGCCCTTGAGATCCAGCAGGGCAGTGGTAACAAGGTTCTTGTGCGTCAGTTTCCTGAGGCTATTGCTTCTTGCAGCAAGCACTAAAGAGAGAAATTTTATAGACATGACCCATAAAATGAACTTTTAGCTTTACTTGATATAACCCAGTGAATTGAGGCTCTTGGAAATCATTTTTAGCTTTCATGATTATATAAGCCTCTTTGTTGTAGTTACTTTACAGTCTGTGGAATAGAAGCTGAAATTATGGGCGAATTAAATTTCAGTATGGGGGCCTGGGGATATAGTTCAGCAGTAGAGCACTGGCCTACCATGTATAAGGCCTTGGGTTCAATTCTCAACACCATTAGAAAACAAAAAATAATTCCATATGGATGGTCTCAGTGTCTCTAAAGTCAGGCTTAGTTAGGTATTTCTCCCCAGGTAGCCTAAATTTGGCAAAGGGCAAGGTTATGTATGATGAAGAATTAACTTTAAAAATGGAAAAAGTGGCCGTTGAGTGACTTCACTGTCCCTGCTGTCTTCTTGTCTTGGCCCCTGGCCCACTGCATCATGTCCTGGTGTAACTTTTCTCATTGCTGAGACAAAATACTCAACACTTGAAGTTAAAGGAGGAAAGGTTCATTTTGGCTCATGGTTTGTAGAGGTTTCATTCCATAATTGGCTGGCTTCAAAGGCAGGGTAGCTTGGGACATTGAAAAGCAGGCAGGAAGTGGCAGAAGATAATCAGCAGCAATAGAAGCAGCAACAGCAAGCATTAGCTGCAGACCTCTTTCTACCTTTATTTGCCATCCAAGTTACCTGCCAGATTGGAGGTACCCTTAACCCCAGCATCACAGGGATTAAGATCCTGCCACCTCTGAAAAACCTTACTTATGCCCACGTGAGGCTTTGGATGGACATCAAGATACAAGCCATATTGTCTGGCTGCCAGAATCACGTGTTTTTATGAGCGATGGAGCAATATTTCTTGGTTGTGTCCCTTTTTGTATGGCCTGTTTCGAGGAGAGATGAATATATTTGTGGAACCCATCTCTTATGCCATGTCATTGTCAGGTTTTAATTAATAAAGAGTTTTAATTGATAGGAAGCAGTAGGTAATGTCAGGATGAGTAAGTAGTATTAGCTAACTTAGGTAGCATTGCAATCTGTGAAGAGGTCATTTCTCTAGAATGGACCTCAATCTGGGTACTGCTAATCTGAAAATCATGAGCCCTTTGTTTTGGATATGAGGCATGACCCTGCTTTTCTTACTTTCATTTCACTCCCTTACTCACAATTTCTAGCAAGTAAATAAGTTTGGCTGACCCTGGTAATTAATGAGCAGTGATAGAGTGGCTTTTTCTTGATGTGTATGCGTGGGTTCAGAACTCTGCTACAGAGGTTACTGCCTTCTTACTTGTTTGCGGAACAGACTTTGCGTCCTTGTGCATGCTAGGCAAGTGCTGTACCCCTGAGTCACAAACCAGCCCTCTGCCTTTTTAAGTAACCTGAATCTGAGTTCTAGGAGACCAGGGAACTTCGTTGTTGAGGTCAGTGCTGTGTCTAGTGCCTCGCACAGTGCCTTCCAAGTAGTAGGTACATAGTAGGTAAATGTTTTGTTCTTTTTAATTTTAAAGAGAATAAAACCTAATAAAAGAAAACAATAAAAGCAGATCACAACAAAACAGTGAAAGTGGTACAGAACTTCAAAATAGGATAATAGGAAATCAACAATGGCTACCATAATGTATCTTATCTTCAAAATAGTTGTCCATATCAGACATAGTAAAATCAAATAAAACAAAGCAGTAAAACCAATCAAAACAGCATTGAACAAAACAAAACAATAAATCAGATCAAAACAGAACAGTGAGAACAATACTGGATTTCAAAAACAATACAGAAGAAAACCCCCCATATTTGCCATATTTGCATACTGTCATCCTTCTAATAGATGCTCAGACTACTGGCCTTAGGTCTGCAAAGTCAATCAGACAGTACAAACATTTAGCTGTTTTTGTATCTCAGTTGCTATGGACTCAGCCTGTCCTCGGGATCAGCCAGTTCCTTACCCGGGAGGGATTTGTGTGGAGGGGTTCTTGCCCAGCCATGTGCTGATTGGCTCATGGGAAGGGCGAACTGGCTTCTCTCTTCCTGGGTCCTGCATGGTTTGTGCCAGTAAATGTTTGTTAGATGGATAACTTCATTAGGAAGCAAAATGATCAAGAGTTCATATCTTGGGCCAGAGATATGGCTCAGTGGCACAGTACCTGACTGCCAAGTACAAGGTCTTGAGTTCAATTTCTGGTACAAAAAAAAATTCACATCTTTCTAGGTCATAGCACAATGCAAGAAGCAGCTTGGTCTGGACTCTTGTATCTAGTTAAAATTTTTTTTCTGATTTTATTGCCATTTTGCTGTGAACAGTTAGTATCTTTTCTAGATTTTATGCTAGATGGGCACTGATGATGGTGCTTATAGTTGGTGGATGGGAGGGTGCAAAAAGGAATGGATCTGACTATTCAGAATTAAAAGACTAGGATTAAGAATGTAGCTCAGGGGTAGAGTGCATGCCTAGTGTGTGCAAGGCCTTTGGTTCAATCCTCAGTACTGGGGGAAAAAAGGTACTGATCTAGAGGCTCATTACAAGGGTTAGGTGGCTCTCAAGAAGGTGTTTAACAGACTGCCAGGATATTTAAGGAAAAAAATCATCTGAGGGGATTCTTTTTTTTTTTTTTTTTTTTTTGTCTTTTTCGTTTTTATCGGTACCAGGGATCAAACTCACGACTGCCTGCTTGCAAGGCAGGTGCTTATGCCGCTGAGCTAAATCCCCAGCCCCTATCTGAGGGAATTCTTTTAGCCAGGAGGGAAGGAAGGATTACTCTTTCAGTACTCTGATTTTCCCTTGGGAATGCTGGGGCTGGGGAGAAAGTGATGTGCATATTTATCCTCTGTTGAAATGTGGCTGGGATGGGGTACAGAAAAGGTTTCTTTTTTCTTTCCAGATGAGCACAGGCTGCACAGTGGCAAGCTCTGCCTGATCATCCTTACATGTATCGCAGAGGTGAGTCTCAGCTGCCTTCTGGTGTGAACCCTGCGCTCTCATTCCCTGCCCGCAGCCCTCCTGTTGCCTGTGTAGAGCCCTTAAGCTGGAGAGCACAGTTTGTCTGCCTCCTCCCACTAGGATGGGCACTCTGAGGGCAGGCGTGCATCTTCTTCACCACTGAGGCTCAGTCAGCCTTAATGGGCATGTTGACACGGTAGCAGTCACAGTTGAGACCTGAGGGTTCTGGCTCTTCAGAGTTCTAACAAGAGATTTGAACTCTTAAAAATAATAACCTTGCCCATTTGAAGCCGCTCATGTTGGGGTTTTCTCATTTAGCGAAGTGGACAAGGGGCTCAGGTGTCCTCGGGTAAAGTGTGGGTGTGTGGGAGCATTCAGAGAGTACAGTGACTGTAGTTTGGTGGAGAACAAGAGCCAAGGGGGAAAAAGTGCCTCAGTTTTCTGAGAAGCACTCTGGGCTGGATCATGTGGGCTGACCTGCCCACAGATCGTGGTGGCACAGGAGACTGAGAGAAGCTGAGGCACTTCAGAGCTAAGTCACACTCTAACTCCCCTTTCAGTATTTCTTACTCGGCTCTTTCTTCTTTTAAGAGAAATAGTCAAGGTGGTCTGCATGAAGAGACTTTGCTTTTGTGTGTTCTCTGTGGGAGGATGACCTCCTTTTCTCCAAGCTAGGAGCTGGTGGTTAGAGAAGAGCTGCTTATTAGTGGAGCTGGTGTACTTGCTTTTAAAAAAACCTTCCTAGTGAAATAAATCTTTGAAGAAGTCGTTTTTTACAAATCCTAACAAGTCCTAGTCCTTGGAGTCTTGGGCACGTCACAGCTTCAGGACAGATGTTGGGAAAGGGCCTGGATGCTTATTGCCAGTCCTGTGTGGGAAATGTTTGATTTTCCTTCAGTCTTCAGGAAAGCCAGGGCTGGCAGGTCTGGCTGCTTCCAAGCTGCCTGTGTGGCTGTTCTCCTACTGCACTGAGCTCATCCCTCGCAGAGCACAGACCTTTTTTCTTCTAACAGGAGACTCACATGGCGCCTGCACAGGCATCCTACACCGCCACAAAGACCTTCAAGCTGTCACAAACAGAGCTGACTCTTTGGGCAGATGGGAAGGAAGAAGGAATCAGAAAACAGATTCCTTTCAACATTTGTCTCAGATTTCTGGGTCTGACTTTTTATTATTTTTTAATTTTCTTAGAGATTGTTGAGGAGGGATAGAAGGGGAAATTATCCCTAAGTAAAAAAAATTTATGGCTCAGTAGGGTTTGACATAGAGGCTGAGGCTTATCCTAGTTTTCTAACTGGTTCTTGAAAGTGGTTCTTTTTTTTTTTTTTTTTTTTGGTACCAGGAATTGACTCAGGATCTCACGCTTGCCAGGCAAGTGCTGAGCCATCAAGCTATATGCCTGGCTTGAAAGCAGTTCTTAAAGTCCAAGGATTTGTAGAAAGTGTGTTGGATTACAAACTGAGTTTCGTAAGTGTAGATCTCACCTTTCTTTTTCTCTAAATTTTTATTAGGATCAATATGCCAATGCATTTTTGCATGATGACAACATGAATTTTCGAGTAAACTTACATAGAATGGTAGGTGTGACTTCCGCTTCTTTTTTTTTCTTAGTGGGAGATGTTTTTTTGTTGACAGTGTTGGGATGAATTTGGTCCTGCTAGAAAAAATGTGGATAGAAAATTCTGCCAAAGAGTTCTTGCATAACCCTTACCAAATTTTGAAAAAATATTGAACGCTAACCCTAACCCCAAAGATCTACAGCCATTGCAATAATGGAATATATCAGAAACATAGATTTCAACAAGGAGATGGTCTAAGACTTGTATTTTTAAAGTGGAGCATGGTTTTAACTTGGAAAAGACTTAAGTAGTGCTTTGATTTATTCATCTGAAAGGTGGGGAAATCAGGGAATAACTTAAAGCTTGAAGATATGGAAAAATACCACTTTGAGGTTTAGGGTTGAAACTTACTCTTTGGTTTTGCAATGTCTACTATTGTTACCTCTATAGTTGCCCACCATTAACCTTCTCTTTCTTCCTCTTCCTCCTCCTTTTTCTTCCTTCTCTCCTCCTTTCTCTTCCTTTTTTTTTTTTTTGGAGGCATTGAGGGTTGAATCTGACGCACTTTCCCACTGAGCTACATGTTCAACCCTTTTTTATTTATTTATTTTGATCATTCTGTTGCCTGGCTGAGTATGAGCTTGCCATCTAGAGTGCTGGGATTACAATGTGTGCTACTAGTCCCTGCTTTCTCTTCTTTTCCTTAACTTTATTATTTAAAATAAAAGTGATGGCCGTGGTGGCACATGCCTGTAATCCTAGCACTTGGAAAGCTGAGGCAGAAGGATCACTGCGAGTTTGAAGCCAGCCTGGGATATATAGTGAGAACCTGTATCACCTCCCCCAAATCAGTGAACTTGTTTTTGTTAATAATGCCTCTTGCGTAGTGTAGATAACAGAGCAGACAACAGCTTTCCTGTTGTCCTGTGCTCTGGAGCTCTGTGGGCAGTTGCCTGGCTATGAGCTCTGTTTTTCTCACAGGCCTACACTGATTGATAACTAGGAACCTTTATAAGTCTTCCTTGTCCCACCCTACCTCAGCCACTAGAAAGAGGAAGAAATTTGTAGCAATGGCTTTATTTGCATGAGGAATGTGATGATGAGCCCGTTGTCCTCAATTCATGTATTTGCTAATTTCTTTCTACCTTTTTTGTGGTGAAGCCTATGAGACACAGGAAGAAGGCAGCAGACAAGAACCTCCCCTGCCGTCCTTTAGTGTGTGCAGTGTTGGGTGAGTTAATAGCATAAAAATCAACATTTTTCCAAGACAGTGATTGGTTCTCATGATTAAGATTCTTAGAGAAGTTACGTTTCTTTGCTGGCCTGAGAAGACGTGTTTATTATTGTTTAGTAAAGTAACCCTATTGAATAAAGTGTCCAGTAAAGGGTATTGTCATTTAGAGGAAAGATAACTTTCCAAGGAGACAAATCATTATATCTAAACTTGATACATAATGTAAATTTAGACATATTTTACTCCTGATCAAAATTTCAATCTAACTTCCTTTCTTTTTTTTTTTTTTTTGTCTTTCTGGGACAGGGTCTTGCTAGGTAGTTCAGGTCGTCATTGGGCTCACTTTGTAACCTAGGCTGGTCCTGAACATGAAATGATTCTGTTGCCTCAGCCTCCTGAGTGCTGGGATTGCAGGTGTCCACCACCACGCCCGGCCTAACTTCCTTTCTTGTTCCCTGTTAACTTGAGGAGTCAAGTGATCAGGAGATTTGAAGTTCAGTGTGCAGACCCAGAACTTCTTGACTACACTAAGTGGAGAGGGGCTGACAGAGTTGATAGGGAGGGGTTGTATCTTGGGTAATTTTGTCTTTCCATCATTGTACATTTTCTCCAGGGGAACTGGCAAAACTCTTAATCCCATTTCCACCTGGATGCTCATCCCCAGTTCCTAAATCTGCTTGATTTTATGGTAGTGGGAATCCAATCCAGGACCTAGTGCTTCTAGGCTGGTGCTGTGCCACTGAGCTATATTCCCTGCCCATTTGCTTGATTTTAAAGGCAGTAATTAAGACTACATAATTTGTTCCACAGACCTTTTAGTCAGTATCTATCAGGCATTTTGATAGTGAGATGAGATAGCCTGATAGAGCTTTAAAGCTAAGTCTCCAGTTACAAGAACGTGATCAATAATTTCTTCTCTTGTTCTCTCATTGCTCTGGTCTTGGAATAAGATTTTGTTCTAGCAAATATGAGCGATGGGTGCCATGTATGAAGTATCTGTACATATATCCCTGAATTGGAATTTATTGACAGTTCTGGGTATCGTGAAGGAATAGGAGACTCAACTGATTTCCTTGCTAATTTGCAAGTGGCAGGGAATGCAGAGTGTTGCAGAAAGCATCTTATGCAAAATAAGTTGGGGTGCATGTGGGTACTGACATTTAGTATGAATGCAAGGGCACAGCATTCCGGAGGGGCCCCCAACTCAAAGGCAAAATACAGATTTCATTCTAATTGATAGTTTTTCTCTTTTCTCTCTTAGACCTGATGGTAGAGTTTATTGTAACACATATGATGAAGGAGTTTCCTATGGATCTCTACATGTAAGTGCCATGGTTCATTTCATATGCAAATGCATTTTATAGAATCAAATGATAGCTGTGTGTGTGATAGCTGTGTGGCGCACGCCTGTTATCCTGGCACTTGGGAGGCTGAGGCAATAGGATCAACAAGTTTGAGCCTCTTGAGGCCAATTCAGACTGTATAGGTAGACCCTGTTTCAAAAAAAAATCAAGTAATTGAAAAAGTTATCCTCTGTGTATACATTAGTTGAAGAAAAACTCATTTGTGTGTGAAATGTTCATGAAATATTTTGTGAATCTTTTCAGAGGAGGGAAAAGTACAAAGTATGGTTTGGATTCTTGTATATATCAGATAAACTGTGTGAAGAGCTAGGCTGATGCCTTGAAACTGGGACCACAGGGGTCTAGGAATCCAAAGATACACAGTACCAGTGTTGTTGTTGCTGTGCTTTTGTGTCACAGTAGTTGGTAGCAGTTAGAAGGTAGGAAGAAGCCAAACATGGTGGCACACATCTATAATCCCTTTATTCTGGGAGGCTGAGGCAGGAGAACTGTAAGTTAAGCCCAGTCTGGGCAGTTGAGCAAGACTCTTTCTCAAAAAAGAAAAAAGAGGGCCAGGGATTTAGCTCAGGGACATAAGTGCCTGCCTGGCAAGCATGAGGTCATGAGTTCAATCTCCAGTACCAAAAAAAGAAAGAAAGAAAAAAGACTGGGGATATCACTCAGTGTCGAGGCCCGGAGTTCAATCTGCAGGGCTTCCCTGTACCCCCAGAAAAGGTATGCAGAGGTCAAGAGAGAACTTCTGGTCCAAACTTAGCAACACTGTCATGGCAGCCTGGCAGAGCCCTGTGAGATGTCACCAGAGGCCTTGCTGGGAGATCCCTGTCTCCAGTGGGGACTTTGATGTCCATCACCAGTCTTGGTGATGACAGTGCTCAGAGGCAACTGCAACTCATCATTTTTCTTTTCTTTTCTTTTTTTTTTTTTTTTTAATAAAATTTAAGTCTTTAGGTGTTCTCAGGATTTCCTTTGTTACTTCTGCATTCCTCTCTTTATTAACCCAGATTCATCATGCTGTATTAGTGTGATTATATATACGCCACCAAAAGAATGTGTCTACACTTCAGCAGTTTGCTGTACTAGTAAGTGTCAGGAAGAAAATGGCCACCACTTTGAGCACCTTTTGTAATTGTACAGCCAAAGGTAACTTGTGTTACTCCCATGATGTCTCAGTACGTCTAGTATTAAAATAGTTATACAAGTTTCCTTTTTCTGATGTTTACATTGTTTTGGTGGAGTCTATAATTTTCTTTCTGCAAAAGCATCTCAGTTGGGTCTGAGTACAGAAGTGTCACCACTATTATTTTAGTCAAGTGACATCTTGATGTGCAGTAAGCTTGGTGTATCTTATTCCAGTGCCATTCCTGAAATCTAGAGAGGGATAAGGGATTTCACTCTATGTAGTGTAGACCTCCAGCTTTTTAGATTGCTCATAGACTAGATAGTCTTGGTTTTATAAGTCTGTAGTAAATTTTACTTTCATTTAAGTAGGTTACAGTTTACATTTTTGTCTTTTGAGTGTTTAAGAGTCTGAGCTTTAATTCAATTCAGAGACCAATGGTGCTGCTTTTTATTTTTATAACACTTAGCAGATGCAGATGAGTTTTCTGCTTATTTTAGATGGAGTCTCTGAACCTCAGTATCTTAGGCAGCAGATTTGTTTGTGCTGTATACTTCTAGCTTGATAATTTTATGTTCCATTTTTGGAAAATGCTGTTTACTTTGTAGTATTGACCATGCTAGTTCCAGTTTTCTCATTTTATAAGGAGAGAAACTGAGGCTCAGGGGATTATGTCTTTTGTCCACAGTTTTGTTATTTAGTATCATTGCCTGGATTTGAACCCAGATTTTCTTACTGTGAGTCCTGGGTTGTTATCATTCCTGTCTAAGTGTTGCTGTGCAAGAAACCTTAAACCTAGTGGTTTAAAGCAAGTGCTCACCATCTCATAGTGGCTGTGGCTTGGGAACTCAGGAGCAGCTCGAGGTGAGTGGTTTTGCCTTCCAGTCTCTGGCAGAACCACAGTCAGAGTGTTAATCGAGGCTGCAGACTTCTAGTAGGTCTCTAGGGCAGGAGAGCTGCTCTCAGGGTCACTTCATGGTAATTGGCAGGCCTTCATTCTTGGCTAGCTGAATCTCTCCTTGGAGATGCTTCAGATGGCAGCTAGTTTCCTCCACAACAAGAAATCGGAGCGAGACAGAAGAGGAGAGTATGAGCCCAAGACAGAAGCCGTAGTCTCTTTTATCACCTAGTCCCAAGTGACACACTGCATCTTGTGGTCGCATAACCACTCTGATAAACAGTGCAGGGAGCCGGGCCCTCATGGACGGTGCTCAGGTAATGAAGGTGTCGCCCTCAGAAGTGGATTAAGCTGATTATAAAAGGACTCAAGGCTGTAAGTCCAATTACTTGTGCCCTTTCTCCCTTTCTTCTCTCTCCCTGCCTCTCCTCCTCCAGTGTGCATCTGTGTGTGCTCACACCCTTGCCTTCCACCTCCTTGGGTGATGCATAGAAGGACCTCACTGGTTGCTTCCACATTGATGTCAGACCTCATGGTCCCCAGAAGTATGGGAAACACATTTCTTTGTAAGCTGCTGGTCTAGGCTGCTCTGGATAGTGATACAAAACAGATTGAGTGAAGGATTCAAGTACCAGCAGCAAGATTGTTGGGGACCATCTCACAGGCTGGTGTCACAGCTGCACATCTAAGATTCACACTAATTTCTCTCTGGCCTCAGAGTGATTATGCTGACGGCACAGCAGAGACTTTGCATTTGACCTGAGTCCTGAAGAGCACTGAGTTTTTTAGGTGGAAGAGCGAGGAGTAGGGGCCCAGCATGAGTGTGTTTTGGGTTAGAAGCGAGGAACTCACTAGAAATAATGTTGGATGGTTAGAGTTGAAGGCACATGGAAAAAGAGTAAGAATAGAAGAAAAAGCTGCCTGAGACTAAGTAGACAGTGGGGAACAGTCAAAGCTGGGAATGATGGAATTGGATTGTGTGTCCTGTACTTAGTGTAGAGTCACAGATATGTGTCAATCTCTGCTTTTACCCTCGGCAGAGCTTTGGTCTTGCCCTCTTCTCTTCTGGGCTCCTGCCACCTACTCTTAGTGGAATGCCTTCAATGGTGAGATGAAGTTAATGAGGTATCAGATTGACAGAGGCTGGGCAAAAGATTTCATGCTCTGGCTGAGTTCACTTGCTTCATTACTACCCATGGGGATGTTTCCAGATATGTCCTAGGTCCCCTTCCAGCTTTTGGTATCTGAAGCAACCAGTCCTTTGTGGGTGAATGTTTCTGCCCCAGCCGGGTATCAGGCTAGGGCCCTGCTCTTCCTTCTCATTGTGTACAGTTTCTCAGTAGCACCTAGCAGAATGAGAAACTGAAAGCAGAATGAGTTTCTCCACTTCAGACATTTATGATCCACCTGGTTAAGCATGAATACATATGGAAAGACTTTGTGCTCAGAGCCAGAATCTAGGTCAGAAGGGAAACAGTTTCCTATCTGTATGAATACTGTCGGGAAAGTCATGAGGAAGGGAGGTGTTTATGGGAAACAAAAAAGCCTGGCTGGGAAAAGGTAGGAAAACTCACCCAGGTCTACTCTGGCTGCACACCTTTGTTCTTGCTGCCATTTCCACTGCTGGCACAGAATTTGGAAGTGAGAATCGAGCTCCTGGGGGGAATGAACTCTTCTTACGTTACTCTCACATGGGAAACCCAGGCTCTTCCTAAGTCAGATATTCCTAAACTTGTGGGCTGTTACCAGAAGAGAGGTGCAGATTTTGGTGGGTCCTACAGAATGATTTCAGGCAAAAGCGGAACCATTTTGAGACAAAACCATTATATGCATGTAAGAACTTCCTGCCTCCCCAAGAAGTAGTATGTTTGACATCATTGCAGCAGTGAGTTTTTTTGTTTTGTCTTTTGGGAATTGAACCCAGGACCTCATGTGCACTAGGCATATTTACCACTGGGCTATGTCTCAAGCCCTTTTTTTTTTCTGTACTGGGGATTGAACTCATGACCTTGTGCTTGCTAGGCACATAAGCTGTGCAAGCTTATGGCACTAAGCTAATCTCCTGGCCCTCTCTATCCTTTTTTTTTTTTTAAATTTTAAAGGGAGTAAAATTAAACACAACAAAACAGAACAAAATAGGGCATAAGAAACAATGTAAGAGATATAAATTTCAAAGCTAGGTGACCTGAGATCTTCACTGCTTTTCATATTGCCTCTTGTTTTCTTCCAAATAGTTGTCCATATCTTCACACACAGAGAATGCATACAAAACAACATAGTATAAAACTGATCTGAACAGAATGAGGAAGGCGCTTTAGGTCTTCAAAACCAGACAATAGGGAAGTCACTAATGACTGTCTTAGAATCTCTCGTTTTCTTCAAAATAGCTGTCCATACTTTCATGTATATTGAAGTTCAACAAAACAAAACAGGCTAAAATAATACCATTAATTAGAACAAAGCAAAACAGGGATAAAGTATTTGCCTTTAAAGAGATGGTAGAAGGAAGTCCCCTTTATTTGCTACATTGCCTATGGTCAACCTCTCAAGGATGTCTAGATCCCTGGCTCCCATTTGCTAAAGGGGATGGTAATCTGGGGAGAAGATGTAATGTGTGATTTTCAGCCTGTGTGCTGGCAGGCTCACAACCGTTCACCAGGGTGGGAGGGGTTGCTTGGTTTCCCAGTGCTCTAGGTTCCCACATGGCGCAGGTCCCAGTAAATGCCATTAGCTCCTGTCCTGGGCCGCGGTAGCCTGCCACACTCACAGCCGCTCACAGGGGTGGGGTGAGGGGTGAGTTTGCTTGGTTTCCTGGTGCGCCAGGTTCCAGCATGGCTTGGGTCCCAGTAAACACTGGTGGTTCCCGTCCTGGGTGGCTACAGACTGCCACACTCACAGCTGCTCATGGGGTCGGGGTAGGGTTGTTTCAAGCTATTTCTTTCTAATGAATTGACGGTTTCACTGCCCAAGTTCTGAAATGGCCAACAGACCATAGAAAGATATCTCTTTAGGCTCCTGCTTGAAACCAACAGTGTCAAGAAGCTGCTAGCCTTAATTCAGGCAGTTTTTTTTTAAAAAAATTATTTTGAGATAGGTTGTTTGCTAAGTTGCCCAGGTTGGCCTTAAACTTAAAACCCTACTGTCTTAGCCTCCTGAGTGGCTGGGATTACAGGCATGGGCTACCACATCTAGCTCTCATACATATTTTTAGGAACATAATGATCATTAAATTTTTCATTCTGCTTGGTGATTTATGTTAGTTGTTGAGACTGCATGGCTAATGATGATACCTGTTGGGTGAGTGGAGCCAGAAACAGAGCCTAGGGGCAGTGGGTATAGGCAGCTTTGGGGGAGGCAAAGAGGGGGGCAGAGAGGCAGGACTGGGGATGGGGATGTTGCAGCTCTAGTGCTAGGGGAGGAGGTTGGTAGGAGGCAACAGTCTCCAGTTCGTCCAGACCCAGGTCCTATGTAAGTGGGCAGCTGTGTAGTGGCAGTTGCTAGCACCAGGAACAACTGACTGTCAGCTCCTGTTGACAGAAACAGGAGCGTCTCTTAGCTAGTGACAGCTACATCAAACATGTGATACCACAGTTTCTAAAAACAAGTAATTTACTTGGGAACTGTTTGATTTATTGGAATTTATACCACTTGGTAAGCACGTTTGGTGATGCACATCAGTTGAGAGAGGAAAAGAATTATTTAAAAATTTTTGATGTGTATATTAATTATGTGTTGCTTTATATTTCTGTGTGGTTGTAAGCTATTTTAATATCACTGTAGAACATGCTGAAGTTTCTTAAGAGACCTGTTATCTAGTCATCTCATTAAATCTGAAGTGCTCCTGCAAAACCTCTCAGAACTCTAGGGCTGTGTTTTCCAAACCTGTGGCACGCATGCCACAGCAGGCTGTTAGCACTGAAAGCTGTAAGTGGTTTGCCATCAATGCTGTAGGAGTGAGAAGCACACAGAGACGTGGATAACGGGACAAGCAGAAGACATAGAGATGGCCGATACGGGCCTCTTAATTAGGAATATTCTGAAACGGTCAGAGAAGAGTGACTTGAGGACTCTTGAGCTTTCAGGTTTGGTTCATTTGTGTGTTTGGTATGTCGTTAGGCACTGTACTGCCTCTGGCTGGTGTCTCCGACCCTGACCTCTCAGAGCAGATTAGTAATGTTTTTTCTGTTTTCTTTTTCTCCTTCCTAAGAGGTACAAGAAAATAGCTTTCCCTACTGTAGCTTGGTTTATGAACTGTTAGATTGACAGCCACAGGTGAACATGGTCTCTGCTGAACTAAGTGGGGCACCAGGATGCCTTTGTCTCGGTCTAAACCAGAGCTTGAGACTTCCAACCCTGCCTCAGGAAGCGTCTTGTGTTTGGAGTGGACTTGCACTTGGGTGTATCAGAAAGTTACATACCTCAAACAAGGTGGAGAAGAGCACTTTTCTATTTTTGCCTTCTCTGCCTTTTTTTCATGTCAGAAAAGCTTCAAAAGAAAGAATCTTTTTTTCATTTGTCCGAAACTGCAGGCTGCCTGGGTTTGGTTTTTTAGGCATTCTATAACTCAGTTGTGTTAGGATTCAAGTGCTAGCTCAGCTGGGGTTAGATGAGTGGGTCAGGAAGATAGCTGTAGCCACGTGTGGCCGTCTGGGATGCTTCGGCAGAGGGTTAGAGATCTAAACCCAGCCTGGATAATGTAGCAAGACCCTGTTTCAGAATAAAAATAAATAGGCTGGGATGTAGCCTAATATGAAGACCCTAGGTTCAATCTCCAGTATTGAAAAAAAAAATTGAAGAATAAATTTTTTGCCCCAGGCTGGGCATTAGTGACTCACCGAGACTCTGTCTCAAAATTTAAGGAAAAATTTAAAGGAGGAGAGTTGAGTACAGTGAGGAGGTCCCGGATTCAACCCTGAACTTCTCTTTGGTTTTGTTTTGTGGTACTAGGGATTAAGCCTAAGGCCTAGTTCATGCTAGGCAAGTACTTTTAACACTAAACTACATCCCAGTCCTTTATTCATTTCAAGACAGGGTCTTACCAGGTTGCCCAGGCTGGGAATCCTTGTGCCAGCTTTTCTAGCATCACAAAGAGTTCTATTAGATAGTGCTGCTATGGATCACTGCAATACTGAATTATTCACCCCCAGTGACATGCATTTTGTTTTCCTTTGTGTTGTTTGTGGTATGAAGGACTGAACACACGACCTCACACATTAGGTAAGCACTTTACCACAGAGCCACATCCCCAGGCTTGCAATACATTAGAATATTTCCAAATTATTGGTTAGTAAGTTGAGGTTAAGACAAATGAAATTTTTAAAAATTATAAAACTAGCAAAAAATATATTTTTCAACTCTGAGAATTTTGAAAGCTTAACATCATAGTCAAAGTTTATAACATGACTTTGTACCCCATTGCTATATATATTTATAATATATCACGATACAATAAAAATTTAAATAAAAAATTTTTTTAAAAGAATGCTTAAGTAACCACAGATGAAATTATAAAGGAGAAGACTAATAAAATTTACTTCCAAAAAATAAAAATCTTTTTTGTGTGTGATATGTAGCCTAGGCTGGCCTTGAACTCTTGGGGATCTTTCTGCCTCAGCCTCCTGAGAGCTGGGGTTACAGGTGTGCATGACCAAAAAAAAAAAAAAAAAATTAACTACATTTAATTAAATGTAGACCTTTGAGACCAAAAGTCTTTAATGGTTTTCCATGCTATGCCTTTTTTTTTTTTTTTTTGGTTTTTTTGAGACAGGGTCTCACTGTGCAGTTCAGGTTGGCCTTGAGCTCACTTTGTAGCTTAGGTTGGTTTTGAACTCAAAAGGATCCTCCTGCCTCAGCCTCCCAAGTGCTGGGATTACAGGCATGTGCTACCATACTTGGCTGTGCCTATCACTTTCACTGGCACAACTAGGGTACATTTTTCCTTCTAGGAATGATCCTTAAAGGAAGGGTATTAGGGGTGCTTAACTGAATATGGGCTTCTAAGTGGTTGTAGCCCCCTTTTCCCATTGACAAATGGAGTATGTGTGTGTATATGTGTCTCTCCCTCTCTCTCCCTCTTTTATCCCTCTCTCTCTGTTTCTCTCTCTCTCTCACACACACACACACATATACACACACACACAGATTTACTCATGAGAAGAGCTGAGGATGTTCTTTTCTTTTACATGCTTGGTTGTTTGTTTATTAGGTTTTTGAAACAAGGTCTTGCTATGTATTCTATGCTGACCTCAAGCTCGTGGTGATTCTCTTGCCTGAGGCTCCTCAGTGCTGAGGTTATAGGGTTGCACCATCCTACCCAGCTTTGCTTGTGTACGTATTTATTTATTGGTACCAGAGATCAAACTTACAACCTCATTCTTGCCAGGCAGGTGCTTATGCCATTGAGTTAACTCCCTATATCTAGTGTCTTTAGTCTCCTTAGCAAACAGACCTGCCTCACTAAAGAAAAAGGGTATCTGAGCTGGGTATGGTTACAGATACTTGTATTGGATTCTTTTTTTTTTTTTTTTTCTTTTTATCGGTACCAGGGATTGAACTTAGGACCACCTACTTTCAAGGCAGGTGCTTAAGCTGCTGAGCTAAATCCCCAGCCCCCAGGCAGATACTTGTAATGCCAGCATTCTGGGAAGCTGGGGCAGGAGATTTGCAAGTTGAGCAACTTAATGAGACCCTCACTCTCAAAGTAAGAAATAAAAAAGGACTGGGAAGATAGGTCAGAGTGAAAGTCCTAAAATTAGTCCCAGTGCTGCTAGTGAATGAAAGAAGGAATGAATGAATGATAGCTGTGGTGAGCTCACTGTATTTTTTGACTTATCCCATGTTTCTTTCTTTGTAACAGACGCTGCATTCAGGTGGTACATAAACTGCTTTGCTACCAGAAGAAGTGTCGAGTTCGGCTCCATTACACCTGGCGGGAACTCTGGTCAGGTAACTTTCATCATCTTCTCATGCTTTTCTTATGTGCACTAAGGTTTGGACTCAGGGCAGATCCCCACCCCAAACTGTGGTGTTTGTTTAGGATGCATCTCTTCTTTTCTTTTTTCCCCTCCCCATCCCCCCTCCTCTCCTTTTCTCTTTGTCTCTCTGTCTCTGTCTTTCTCTCTTGCAGTTTAGCTTTTTTTTGGGTCAGACTTAGAGTTGTTCACACCCATGCATACTGATTCATTTGCACTATCAGGGGTTGATTTTAGGACTGTCATCTGTCACATGTCCATTTCACACTTTCTCTCTTGTTCCTTCTTTCCTGTGTTTCTTTTCTTTGTGTGTGTATACGTGTATGTGTACGTGTGTGTGTGTTGGTAGAAACAACTGAATGTTTCTTGAGTTTCAGTGATTCTTCCTTTGTGTAAGACAGAGCTAGGCATTAGTGCAAACTTGGACTCTTCCTTTGCTGCATTTGGTAGCAGCTAGGGACTGCAGGGAAGCTTGTGTTTCCTCAGGATGGGTGGCTTGGGAGGGGTGTCATAGGTTGAGGGGTGGGCTGGGGTACAAAGATGAGGGTACTGTTCTTTGTGTCTAATCTGGCATTGTTATTGTTTACAGACAGTGCTGATTGCTCTACTCCCCTTGCATACAGGAGACAAAACAGCAAGTGACAGTGTGTACTTTTGCCTTTGTACCCACTGTGTAGCCCAGTGAGTCACTGCAACCTCTGCAGGCAGGAAGTGGGGCTTCTGTAAGATACAGTTAGCGCTGGCTTTCGCCCCTTTCTTATCTCCAGCTAAGTGAGCATTTTGGAAAGCAGAGGAGACAGGTCCTCTGAGGCAGTCACTTGCTGAGGGGTGCTGTGGCTTTGGGACCTGATAGTACAGTAGACTCCTGATGGTGGCAGGAAAGAGTGGTTGCTGTGTTAGTGTCAGAGCTTTATAAGAAACAGACCAGTAACCCAGCCCTTCCGTGGAATTCTTCTAGCTTGTTGTGACACATGGTTTCCTCCCAACCCAGTTTAGCTTTCTAAATTTAGTGTTCCATAATGGGAAGTAGCAATCTTTAATTAATGGACTAGAAAGGTTTTTTTGCAGTTACTGCCTATGGTGGTGAAGGGGGAGTAAGAGAATCACGCTAATTGGCAATAGAAGCATTTGGTATTTTAGGAGAGAAGAGTATGGTTATGTGAGGGAATGAATGTCAGATGAACTGAAGAGAGATTACAAGAAATCAAAAACGACTAAAGTTAGAATTTCTTAGGCAGTACCAGTTGTTTTTTTTCTCATTTTTTGTTACCAGGGATCGAACTCTCAGCCTCGTACTTGCCAGGCAAGCACTTGCACTGCTGAGCTAAATCCCTGGCCCAACAATTGCTTTTGATATAAAGGGCTTGTGTTGTTGCCTATGGATGGCAGTGTGACTGCTGGGCTCTAAGTCTAGGATTAAATGAAGACACAGGATGCTGCCAATCCATGTGTTTGGTGCAGCTGTAGACTTAGAGCAGATGCAGGGGTCTGTGTCTGTGACAGTGGGGTTACATGCTGTAGTGTTTAGCAGTTGGTAGCAGTTGCTTTTCCTGTCCCTTTGGTTCCCTTCCAGCTGTATTTTCCCTTTCGTTCTGTGTTCTTTCTTTGTCCTCACTATCCTAGCTCTGGCCTTGCGATGTCTTGGGCTTTTCTGCCATCCTCTTTGTCTGTTATATTCTTCCTCAGTGTCCTGCTCCATCAATCCTTTCACAGTGCCCCTCTGGTGCCCTGTTCTGTCTCCCTGGTACTTTTCATTGTCCTCCTGCGTCATCTTGCGGTCTCTGTCCTTTGCACAAATTGGCCCTGTTATCGTTGTGAACTATCTCTACCGTGCTTTGTACTGTTGTGGTCATAAAACATTTGATTTTCACATGCCATAAATCCCAGAATGAATTGCTGTCCTTGTCTTCTTCCTCTTCCTCCTTTTCTTCCTTCTTTTTTTTTTGGTGTTGCTTGGAATCAAACCCAGGGTCTTGCACATAATAGGCAAGTGCTCTGCCATGAACTACATCCTTAGCCCCGCTGTTATCATTTTTGCTAAAATAAGTTATTATACTTTAGATTCAATTTTCGTGTGCTTGTGTGCTCACACTTGCGTGTGGTACTAGGTGTTGATCCAAAGGTCTTCATGCTGAACTATTTTCCCGGCCTTTAAAACTTTAATTTTTAATTTTTACTTTATAGATAGGATCTTGCTAAATCACCAACTTCCCCAGATTGGGTTTCAACTTAAGATCTGACTGTCTCAGCTTCCCAGAGTGCTAGAATTATGGGCATATACCACTTGCCGGGCTCAAAGTGACTTTTTCCCCTGACTCTTCATTTTTGCCATTCCAGCTAGTGGCTTGTGGAGAAGAGCGTTCTTCATTCCATGTCAGCTGGTTGATTGTCTTGAGAACTTGGTCTTGTTTGGCTCTGTAATTGTGCGTTGCTCCAGATTGACTGGATTGCATTCCAAGGCCCGGGACAGGTTAGGGGCAGGGATATAGGAATGTCAGGGCCAGGGCCTGGGCAACTGCTTGTTTCTTAGGTGTAGACACTCACAGGAGAGTTCTCTGCCAGGCGAGGTTTGCCTCTTTTCCCGTATGATGTGAGCCCTCCTGCAGCCCAACGCCATGTGTTTGCACACGGAGTGTACAGTGAGATGAAGAGCAGTAGGTGTTAAGGAAACTGCAAAACACAGCATTGCAACCAGGAGTCAGGCCCATGAGAAAGTGTACCCTGCATTCAGTGAGCACCAGTGTGGCTGTAGTGATCCTCCTACTCCTTGGCTGCTGCTCCTCTCACACGTTGGAGCACCCATGTTTCTAGTCTTTCTTTCCTTAGAGAGTTAACAGATGTGAGGGAGGCATGTGAAACTCATCATGGCAAGAATACTTGAGTACACACTGGCCCGTTTATGTGCCGCTGTCCTAATTGACGTTTATTTATAAGTTGGATGTGTGGGGTTGGACTGGACACCTGGAAGGCTTGGGAATGCGAATGCAGAAGCCAGGATCTGGACACCTTTTGTCACTAGACACAAGGGTGTTTGGTGGCCTCGCTCTGTGAGGGCTGTGCTGTGTGACTGCAGTTGCTGTTTGTCACTGGGCTGTGGCCAAGCAGTTCTGCCAGTGGTGCATCCCTAGGAGCATCCTGTGTAGGAGGAGGAGGCAATGGCCCCAGTTGGGGTTCAATCCACCCTCAGCTGCTTTTCCTGCTGTGGCCCTAACCCACTCATTGTTGCTACCTGTCTTTGGGAGGCCTGTCAGCCTGGTGTCTGAGTAAGAACAGAACTATATTTAGCTAATTTCAACTAGAGTGTGGAAAGGAAGAGGTCCACTTGTCTGTATTACCCTTTTTTCTAGTTGTTTTTGTTTTTGAGGTAGAGTCTCGCTATGTACTTCATGTTGGCCCTGAACTCACTATGTAGCCAAGACTGGCCCTGAACTTGCAGTGATTTCTCCTGCTTGAACCTCCCAAGTGCTGGGATTACAGGCATATGCTACCCACACCTACTGTATTATTTTTCTCTTGGCATTTTTTTTTTTTTTTGGTAGTACTAGCTATTGAACCCAGGCCTTGAAAGAGCTAGGCAAATACTCTACCACTGAGCTTCTCTGCCGCTTTCTCTTGGTGTTTTGTTTTGTTTTTAGAACATATTTATTGAGAGAAAGAAAGCTTCTGTTTGAGAGAAACAGAAGGAGTCCCGAACGGGTTGCCACAGACGTCTTTTCTAGGGACTTTTATATAGTAAAGTCATGGGGTGATAGGGGTTCAAGGTGGGAACTCACAAGGCCGATGGGCATAAGGTGGGACAGAACTATATTTAACAAAACTATATGAAACAAAGCAATTATAAACAATGGGGAAATACAAAACACAATTTAAAGCATAAAAATTTGTTATGAGTCCCAGTCCAGAGTCTATGAAAAAAAAAAGCAAACTCTTATCTCTATCCAGTGATCTTGGTGGAACAGTTCCAATGATACAGGGGAATGAAACTCCTTACCTACTATATGTTCAGTATGAGTTTGCATTCTCTAAAATTGAAGAACGAATTTTAGGAACAATAGAGATTAAGAACAGAATATATTTATTGAGAGAAAGAAAGCTTCTGTCTTCGAGAGACAGAAGGGGTCCTGAATGGGCTGTCTTCTCTTGGTTTTTTGAGACACAGTCTCACTATATAGTGTAGTTTAGCCTGGTTCAGCATTGAACTTACTATGTAGCCCAGTCTGGCCTCAAATTTGCAGAGATTCTGCTGTCTGAGCCTCTCAAGTGTTGGGATTACAAGTATATGTCACTATGTTTGGCCTCAGCCCTTTCAAAATTTTTTTTATTTTGAAATAGGGTCACTGTGGTGCCCAGGCCAGCCTTGAGCTTGTGATCCTGCTGCTTCAGCCTCCCAAGTAGGCAGGATTACAGACATGTGCCAGCATAGCTGGCAGAGTACATGACTTTCAATAGGGATTCATAAACTATATCAATGAATAAATAAATGGATGAATGGGTTTGTAGACTTTCCATTAGTAATGAATTAGCATTCACCTAAAGAACTATAATGTTGCTTTTGGGGCTCAAAATAATAATATTAATAATAGTAGTAGTAGTAATATACCTGATAAGATGATTGTTACATTTCTGATGAGCTGACTTCCCTTTGATAGGCCCAACCATTCAAATCAGTTTTATTTAAATTGTTGATGTGAGTGGAAGTCAAACGTCATTTTCCCTATTTCTTTCTTCCTTCCCATGGATGCATGGATTGCTTTTGGCCAAGTAAAAATGGAAACTTTGTTGGTTTCTAAGGTATTAACCAAAGACTGAGCAGAATATGTAGAAGCAGCAGTTGTTGGAATGGGAACTGTTTGTAATAAAGCCTCACAGAATCAGCTTATTTTACTTCTGTAAGAGAAGGCAGGGAGTCATTGGAGAGCCAGCTGCATTTAAATAATGGCTTTCTACAGTCTGAGAACATGCATTGATTTAAAG